CGGTATACCGGTATACCTACCGGGTTCTTCAAAAAAAACAGCCATCGCCAGAGTCGTTCCACGTCATCGTCTCAACCCCTTGTACCCCAACTTCAATGTTGTCGGGTCAGGTTCGGTATCAGCGGCCGTCAGAAAAAACAGCCATTCAGGTCGGTACATGTCAGGAGACCAATCAGCAACATTGAGCTGGGGGCATACGGGGGGATTCAAGAAATCTTTTCATCCCTGACTTGATGGCTGTTTTTTTTGAAGAACCCGGTATCAACCGAAGCTAATCTTCTTTTGTTGTCTTTCTATGTGGGGTCAGACCTGATCAGATCTTTTCAACTTTGTACGATTTGGGTGGAGAGGTATGCCGCGGGGATTTGCTTGTTGTTTTTATTTGTGGGGCCGCTTCAGTCAGAGAAAGCGTGAATCTTTGTTATTTTCACAGTTAAACAGTTACGCGCTAAAGCCCGGTCAAACGTTTGGAGGCTTCACCCGCTCATCTCTAGGGGCTTTTAGTTTGATGCGCTCATCTCTAACCCGCACCCGTTTTCTTTCAAAGACCAGGTCAGCATCAAGTCGGTGGAGTTGACCATCATCGACAAGGCTTACGACATGGGCTGGATGAAGCCAAGCCCACCAGCCAACCGAACCGAAAAGAGGCGCGCGCGACTCTCGCCGCCAACGGCCGTGCGAGAGTCGAAAGTGTCCGCTCCGTCCTCACAAGTTGGCACGGTCCGGCAGAAGAAACCTATGATCTCAGATTTTTCTATAAACGAGAGCAACGTGTGGATGTTTTTCGTTTCTATTTTTTGCGGACTCACCGAGTAGGGTTGACACGATCATGCAAACCTTCACCAGCTTCGACTCAGGGTGGTCATTGTTGGATCTGGGCCCTGCTGGACTCTTAGCACTTGATCCATCGTGTCAAGGCTTTGCTGATTCGACGCGTGGGGGATCGACAGCTGCGATCGGTGCATCGAGGTGGCCTGGCTGCGGCGGATCAGCTCAACAAGATGGGTCACCGTGTGACCGTGCTGGAGCGCGCTGATCGGATTGGAGGCTGATCGAGGGCGCGTGCGGGCGGCAGCGCGGGTGGGGCGCGGGGTGGAGCCGGATGAGATGAGGCACTCAAGTGGAACACCCTCCAATTTTGCTGGAGAAAATCACTCTAAGCGCCGATTTTGTTCTTTTTGTGGGAGCTCTATGGATTATATACATGGGCGGAGTGAAGATCAAGCAGAAGCCGACGGCTCATGCCCCGCTTGGCAGCGAGCGCCGGTCAGCCAGGTCTGATGATGTATGGCGTGCCCAACATGAAGACTGACAAGGTGGATGTTGTCCAGAGACGTTCACGCCTCAGACCGGTTGCCCTGCTCTCGGAAGAGTGCATGTACTTCTGCTTGAAATTTGTTGCTGTTGATGGGCAGGCACTTGACCTTGCTACTTTGAGGGCCTCTTGCGCTTCCTTCGCATGATTCTTTGTCTTCTGAGGTGTGAACATCATGAAGCAGGAGGGTGTGACCTTTATCACCGGCCCTGCTGGTCGTGTGGCTGAAAGCGCCCAGGAGGCTTGCCCACAGCGAAACGGTCTGTACAGGGTCACTCACCACAAGTGCTCTTGCACTTTTGGTATGTCCCAAAATCAGGACCCCCCTCAACCGGACTTTATGTGAAAAACTCTAGTGAGTCCAAATATAAAGGGACTCCCCATCTCATTTTAGAGATATGTTCCTTCTGTGCAACGACACGCATTTTCCAAACACTGTAGTGCCTCGTTCACGGTCCATGTCCACGAGGCCAGTATCGAAGGCACCAACATGGGCCCACGGGCGGCGCAGCTCCTTGAGGACGGCGCTACTCTCGGTGAGTACGACCGCCTGGTGGGTTTGTGCTCCTCTAACACTACCATCCCAACGGTGCTAAGCAACAGGTTGACCATGGTTGACCCGTTGGAGCGTTGATCCGTTGGTTTTTCCCGCTTTGAGAAACACCGATTCCGAGCGGGGTCCCATGTCTTGGTCGGACAGGTTCCTTGTCAGGCCATCCAAAGCTGGGTCTCAGGAGTATGATGCTGTGCTGTTGGCGGTGGGCTCCACTGTGGCCCGAGACATGCAGAACGTTACTTGAATATAAGAAAGCTGTTGGGGGGAGCTATGATGTGCTCTGGAGTCATGTCCGACCAGCGGTTTGCATTACTTTTTTGAGACAGCCTTTGCATCACTTTTGAGCATTCTGAGGTCCCTGGGCGTGACTTGAGCGGTGTTCACCTTGCAATGGACTACTTGACCTACAACACGAAGGCTGTGACATTTGTCCGGGGTGAATGGACAGGTTCTCCTTTTCACGCGATACTTCTCAGTATATATCCGATCTGGTTCAAAAAGGTTCAAGCAAATGGTTCAAAACCAATTATATATATAGTCTTTGGTGTCCCTATTTTTGGAACCAGGATCAACCAGGGTTTCCCAAGTTTGGGCACATGGCTGGCACTTTTGACTCGTCCCTTGCAGAGCCAGGCCCTGTTGGATGGCGGCGATGTGGGCAGCAAGTGGCGGCGCTGGTGGGGTGCCAAGAAGAATGGCCCCTTGGAGGGAAAGGGGCGTGGCGCGACCGGCGGTGCCGGTGCCGCCATTGGGGCATTGGAGGTTCTCCTCTCCTTTTCTCTCTCTCTCTCTCTCTTTATTTTCTTCCGCTTAAGACTTTTGGCTTTACGTGGGTGTGGAGCTACAATCTTTTTTGGTGCCAGTTTGTTTCACTTTGGTGTTGAATTCCAAGTGTCTTGGGCTTGGGATGCCCAGGGGTTCAATTTGTGGTTCCCGCCCGCGATGGCCGAGCAGCCTCGCAGTTAGGAACCGACCCCAAGACGCTGGATGCAAAGGACAAGAAGGTCATCGTCATCGGAGGTACGAGTTTTCGAGTTGAGAGGGGCCAGCTTGTTGTCACCCTATTTTCCAGAGGGTCTCAGCGTTTTGGTGATTTCTTGGGTTTGCAAGCGAGTTGTGTTGTTTACTTTAGTCGAGTCATTTCCCAAACTCTGATGACTCTGCTCCTTTTTCAGGCGGAGACACTGGAAATGACTGCATTGGAACTGCCGTGAGACAGGGTGCGAAGTCAGTGCTATCCTTACTTGATCAGCTCAAGCACCAACAGTACAGGTCGCAAGATTGGCAGGCAGCCCACACATTTGCACTTGCAGAATAAACTCCATTGCAGATGTTGTTTGATATTTGGAGTTTCATTGTTGCTATTTTCTTTTCATGCTACCTCACGGATGCCATTGCCATAGATCTCAAAGTAGCAATCGGAACGTAAATTGAGGTGATCAATCTGGAGCTCATGCCACAGCCACCCAAGCAGCGTGCCCCGAACAATCCTTGGCCTCACTGGCCTTTGGTGTTCAAGGCGACCTGAAGTCAGAAGAAAGCTTTGAATTTGGCTATATTTGCTGAATGCAATGACGTGCATAGTAATACTGTACTTTCTTCCACGACTTTTGCATGCTTCGTTTATTTCTTTCCGACCGGAGATTTTCCGTTTGCAGGTGGACTATGGACATGAAGAGGCAAGACGAGCTTTCTCACCGCCGTCGGACCGCCCGAACGTCGTCGGACCGAACGCCGCTCCTCCGACCGCAGGCCGCTCCGTTGAACGGCAACAAAGACATCCGACGCTTGGATACGCTTGGTGTTGTGGTTCGGCTGTGGCACCCTTGTGGCGACGACTTCCAGTTATTTTGTAATTGTTGAATGAGCTTGTATTGTGGTCGCCTTCAAGTGACCTTGGGTCAATATGGTTTTGAAATGCTAGATTGCTAAGGGGCTCCTTTGTTTTTTGTGGGTCGCTGGCATGGAAAGACGCCCGGAATAGCCACGTGTTTCAGGAGAGTATGGAGCTCTCACGAAGGCGCAATGGGTGAACATGCAGCGATATTGCGAACAAAAGGTTTCACCGTCGCCCATACGTTGTCTATAGGGCTGGTGGTGCCTAGCAGCTTTTGACCTTGCAGTAAAGCCATGGTTGTTTTGGGACGTTCCAGCTGTCACCAGTTGGCCTCGCCCAGAAACATCAAGACTTTTCTGCTTGCCAGAGTGTCGCGGTTTGCTGTTTCATTTGCCATCCTTTGCCTTTGTATTTTTGGTTGCTTATGTTGCAAGAACTTGCAGGAATTTTTGGATGACGGCCATGGCAACTTGAAGGGCATCAAAATGGTGAATGTGAGATGGGAGAAGATTGACGGTCAAATGCGTCTCCTGCCGGCACTATTTCACTGGCGCTGCATTGTATTGCTGTGGCTATGATGTTTTTGAATGACATTATAAACATATTGGTTAGTTGCTCCACGTCTCCACCTCTCTGGTCACCAGTGATTGACCTGATGGGTTCGGAGTTCGGAGATGTTCAATTTGGGCCGGCAGGCATGATGGAACAGCCAGGGAGCGAGAAGATCCTGGAGGCGGACCTGATCCTCCTGGCCCTGGGATTCTTAGGCGCGATCGCGGTCGATCTCGGTCGATCTCGGTCAACTTGCTGGACTTGCTCGCGGCTCACTGGGGACCCGTTTGGCAAGAGGGACCATATATTGGGCTGAGGTGGTCGGACTGGGAGAGAGTTTGGAGCCGATCTGGCAGAGATCACCACTGCAGTACCCTTGGTTTGGTCCGTGAGAAGAACCTTCGTGTACGATCGCGTGGTTGGGTACTGGAAGAGAGTACTTTACCCGGGCAAGGTGGCGGGAAAACTCTTCAGCATGTGATTCCAGGCCTTGTTTGGAAACTGGTGCTTTGCTCTGTTGTCGTCCCAAACGTGGTGATGCACGAATCCTGTCACTGACACCCAGCTGCGGCTACTTCTACCTGTTTATCTGTACATCACCCAAAAGTAGGTAGCACAGCGAAAGGATCAGCACTCATTGAGCCGAATAGGTGCCACTAGCAGTCAATGGAATTGTTGCCTTTTAGCACACAACATCGGCACCATCTCTCGAGGCCCCGAGAACCCACTGGCCAATGCCTTCGGAGTCGACATGGATGAGAGGGGGAACTACAAGGCTGGTCTGCAAAGCTCAAAGCTCAGCCATGCTCAGCCCACACGTTTCCACGAGCTTTTTGGTGGGTCTATGTCAAAAATGGGTGCTTTCCGGGACGATCCCTGGGAGTGGGAAGCCAAGGAGCATCCATTTGTTGGGGATCAACTCATTTTGAGGCCAAAACAGCGTTGGACACTTGCCGGATGGACACTCTTCCTCTGGTGGGTCTGTGGAACAATGAATCCGACAGACCAGCTGCATGTGAAGCTCTTCCATTGAGAAGTTGTTTGGAGGCCCTCTATCAGAAGAGCGAAGGAGATTTCCAGACGTCCAATCCGAAGGCGGCGACGTGCGCCAGCACTACGCGGCCAGCAGCAAGGGTGCGTGGATTCGCGGGATCCAGGGTCTTCTTGTCCCTTCACTCCTTTTTTCATGGGGCCGTTGGATGGCAGATTTGGCAGATGGTCCAGTATTGTGGGCAGGTTTGTAGTTCATCTCACCTGCTTAAGATTCTGACACTTCTACAGCAGCTTTGCTTTGCGCTTGCAGGTCTTTGCTGCAGGAGATTGCAGACGGGGCCAGTCCCTGGTCGTCTGGGCAATCAAGGAGAGGGATAGCATGGGATAGCTGAATTTACGTAGTCCAGCAACAACATGAATATACAGAATACATACAACTGCGAACTATAGTTGACAGATGTAAAGTGCATGGCTACAAGGGTGATCCCTTTTTCAGATGACACGGAGATGGGGGATTGAGACAGTCGAAGACGGTGGCGGTCACTCGTCAGGAAGGCCGAGATGCCGCCGATGCTGTAAACAGTTGCAGAGCTTGGAGTTTGGGATCTGTCCGGGGAGGAATGAGGTTGTCTCAAATGTTTGAGCACTGATTCTTGAAGACAGTTTCATTTCGTTGCTTCACGGGTGTTCCTCCTGCTGAGGAAGGGAGTCGTGTAGCACAGCGTGATGTGCGTAGTGACACAGGTGCGAGCGACCGAAGGTCTGGCTCGAGCTCTCTTTTTTGGACGCAGACACGTCCAATCATGGACCAAGAAGGTCCCAATGCAATGGCCCTGGAAATGGCCAAGTGGCTCGTAGCGTGGGGCAGACGCTACGACGCGGAGTGGGACGGCATGTACGACATGCTGCAGTGCCTGTGGAACTTGAGCCGATCCCAATACATCGACAACAGGAACCATGGGGTGGTCCCAATCGTGCAGGCAGCAGTGACGCTGGCACGCGATGTGGCTGACGAGGACCCCATCCATGGCATGCGGCTGACGAAATACATCGGAGAGTTCTACTTAGGAGGCACTTTGGACTTAGCTACTTATAAGTTACTTACGGG